TTGTGTGTGTGTGTGTGTGTGTGTGTGTGTGTGTGTGTGTGTGTGTGTGCGCGCGCGCGCGCGCGTGTGTATATATGTGTGCGTGTACGCACGCATGTGTGTGCAATAGTTTTTAAATGTGAAGATCTATACATTAGTATACATGCTTACGTACATTTGCAACAGTGTGCGCGTATTTGTGTGTGTGAACATTTATTTAAAAAAGGCCCTTTGTAGCTGTTGTTGGGTGAGGGATATCGCGGCTGTGTGTTCGGTTATAAGTTGAATGAAAAACCATAAGAAATGTAGCACGTGGCTTTTCTGATACCTATATGGGAGATAAAAAAGAACAGATTCTGATGGTTGTCCACGTTTTGCTCGAATAAGTTGCCAAAATTAGATTCTGATGATATCCACACATTTTGTCACACGCCCTCCCTGCGTGATGCAGGTCAAATGATGCAACCCCTTTAATTGATCTATCTTGATTTCAGCACGTCCAAATATTTTCTTAGACTAGAGTTTCCCAAATTACTAAAGCCACGTCTTATCACTTACGCTTGATCAGCATAACCCCAAACGAACTACCAGTTTTTGTACATTTAAAAATTTGGCTGAATTTCGCATCAGTTTTGACTCGTTTCCAGGCAGTTGTTTATATTTTGCTGACGCAGGTATCACGTGACAATATTGAACAAAATGGCTGCAATGGTGGTCATTCCAACAAAGGTTTCCTGACATTCATGCATTCATGCTGTGCAAAAAAACATGCTTTAATATTACTTATGTTGGAAGTTGCAATCCTCTGAGCTGTCAGCAAGATGTGTGAGAATCAAGGAGAGGACGATGGAGATAATGCACTCCGAGAAAATGGTGAGTGCGACTTGCAGAATTCGGGGAATGCAAACGAAACTAGGACAACGAACTTGTTTGTTTGTCGGTGCGCTTGAGAGTGAGGTTCCTGCTTTTGTTGCAGTAGCTGGGTTATTGGTTATTGGTGCGAGCTCGATCTTCAAAGTGGGCAGATGCGAAACATGGATAATTTTTACTTCTTCTGCATGCCCAAAAATACAAAGAGGCTGCTGCTTCACTCCATATAATTCATTTGGCCAGTTATAATTCTAATTTCTACATACTTTTTTATTTTTGTTTGAGTTTCTTGAGTCATCACAGCAGTCAGATTCAGAAGTCTTAGTAATCTTCTTGACTAGATCTAGATCTAGATCTAGATCTAAATCTAGATTCTAAACCAGGTGAGCAATTGCATTGTTAGAAAATGATTTTGGTTTCTTTTATGTCAGTGTTAATTTAGATACGTTTTCTTGAAGTAAAGCAACTTGTTCTGACATGGTTGCAGACCATGATAGTAGTTCAGAAGTCTTTACTTAAATTTTTTGCAGAGTTGACAAGAAAGCAGAGAGTGCATGATGATTTCTCTAACAAATAAAAAAAAAAGTAAATTGTATTACACTGAGCATGTTATTCAATGGTGAGAGGATCAAACAAGTTCAAAAGTTTAAATTTTGATCTGAAATCTAGATCTCGATCTAGATCTACATTCTTCTAGATTATATCAAGATCTAGATATTAGATCTAGATATAGAAGAAATCTATATCATGAGCCTTTGCCATAATTTGCCATAAAAAACTTTAACCACTTCCATTTATTCTCACCCTGGGTGAAAATAACCCATGTCTCGCTATTCTCACCCCCTTGTTTTACCGGAACTGACCCGAGAGGGATCAGGGCTGAGGTTAGCGGGCATGACCCTGGGGGGGGGTGTCAGGGCTGATGCTCCACAGCATCATGTTCATCTCTGTTCGTGTCCGAATCGTCACTGTCAGGCAAAAAGTGTCAGGGTTCTCAGTTTGGAAGAACTATATAATACTCAACTTTTTTCGGACGTATTGCCGATATATATCGGCTCGAGTCCACACCCCTTGCGGATGCTTTGCCAATATCGGTAATGATAGGGTGCCTCAGTTTTGTTTTGTTTTAAACAAAAACATCTGGTTTCACTTTGTCAAAACGTGGATTTGCAGGGCTCCCCTTGTCAGGCCAACTAAAGAGGTTCCTTCACCCTTTGGTTTACTATTTTACATCTTCCCTTGTTTTAGAAACTTAGAGGGTAAAAGTCAATATCTCATAATTTTATAGTAAGATTTTTTGCTTGCAAACATTTAACTCACACGCACATTCTCACAGACACACAAAAAGGGACTTTGACTATGATTGAATGCTAACTATTTTTAATTAACTTAAGAAATGAGTAGTAATATTGACAAGAATTATTAGAGTTGTGTCCTTTTGGAGGGGGGAAGAGTGGTGGTGGTTGAGCAGTTGGGTCTATCAAAAATAAAATAAAGTTGACAAACCAAAAGTGGTCAACTCCGACTATAATACTCCAAGAAAAATAGGCCTGCCGTTCTATGAAATCTAAAAGTCAGGATCTCAGTGGAAAAAAAAATTGGGACTTGGTGAAAAAATTCGGGATCAACGACAAATCACGTAGGTTACTGCCAAGCTGACATTAAAAATTTCCTGGGGTGTCCATTATTATATCCCCATGTTTCCCTCTGTGCGCTCGCGTGTGTGTGGTGTATGTGTGTGTGTGAGCGTGCTCCAGCGTGCCTGTGTGTTTTTTATCAATATTTTTTTTAACCCTGAATCATCACGTCACGGTCTCCTAGTCCAAGCTTTTTACACGCCCGCCCCCCCCCCCCCCCCCCCCCCCCCGACTAAGTCCCGAAAGACGCTTACAGCCGGTACGCATGAACTTAAACTGACCTGGTCAACAGACAATCCCCGACACTTGCGGAACTCACCCTCCGAAGTCATGTCACGTGGTGCAAACGCTCGATTGAAACAGTTTTACTGACGGGTCTTGATGACGGACTCAACTAACCAGAACTCCGGCAAAGCATGTTTTGGCGAAAGTAGATCTTGAGAATGTCTTAAGTCTGAATGCCAAATCAATACAACTTCCATTATTGTTGAAATAACACGTGTGTGAGCAAAGATACAACATAACTTTTATCAAATTTGACATAGACATTTTGGAAAATACTGCTCCGAGTTTCTGCTGACAAAAAGTTTAACGAGTGCTTCCACCGTCAGAAAAGAAGGCAGAATAAGATTGTAGAAAAATCCGGCGCAACAGGCGGAACAAAAAACCCCCCCCAAAAAAATCAGGAGACGCGCTATCAAAATTGGGATGCATAAGATTTAGGGCAGGGATGAGTGGCAGGTTTGGAAAATAACTGATTCATTATTCTTCAGAGCCATCCCAAGGTTCACATTCCAGTCTTTACACACTTTCGATGGCGGATAATTCATGTTTAAGTTAAATCTAGTGTGTTAAAGAAGGATGGGGGTATCTCACGGCAGGGGTAAACTCAAGGCACGACGCCGGCAAATGTGAGCCACTAGAATGTGGGCGGCGGGCGGAGCTTCTGTGCTAAAGCCAGCCGGTGTTTCCGGAAACTGCGCGCAGCTGATAAGTAGGTCAACTAGTCGCCATCTGTGACACAGAAGGTGACTGTCGTGCATGTGTGTGAATATGTTGTCAAATCATTGATTAGGCTTTGGATAGAGAAGGGGGAAAATGATGCTTGCCAGACGCACACACACCACCTACGTTTTAAAGTGTATGCAAACCCCTGAAATGAAATTATAAATAGTAAAAATCACGCCCAACCAAAACTTAAAGGGGTGTAATCTGCAGGTTTAATGCGTAATATACGTACATTTGTGCGTAAAGGGGAGCCCTGGTTTGGCGAAAAATGGGTGAATTAGTTCTTGTGGTCTTGCACCCACAAAATGATGTAACCGGACTCCATATATAAATATCATAAATCTAACAAAAATTGGAATATTGCTTTCAAATAAAAAGCTGCACATTCAGAAATTTATGGATTATGTTCTTGGCCTATGATAATATAGCAAGCTGATTTGCTTTCTCGTGTTTGATGAATGTAATTTTTTTCCCTCAAAATATATTTTTCTCATCACCATCACCATTTGTAACCCTTGTAATGCATACTGCAACTGTCAATAGCTTGTGAAAGATACTTCCAATACAATACTTTAAATCCTGAAAATTATTGTTAAATATGATCAGGAAGAGATAAAAATGCAGTTTTAAGTCCTGTCTTTCGAATTTACAGAAATGTCTTAAACATCTTGGTCTCACTGGAAAAACAGAAGGCAAAAGAATTGAAGGTAGATCAATAATAAAGAAATATACATTTTGAAAACTTGTACAGATGGATGATGGGAGAACATCTAAGACTTTTAAAAATTGCTAATGATTCTGTCTTTGCTATTAAATGCATGCATAAAAAAAAGAATAGATCTATAGAACCACAACTGGACACACAGCTTGCATTACATAGTTTGCTTAAAACTGAAAAGTGCTATAAAATATCATCACGACTGAATAGTGAGAATGGTGCAATTCAGTAAGATGAAAAGTGTCACAAAGGATTTTATCTCCCAAGTGTATTGATTTTGTATAATTTTTTCCTCAAAAGATCTCTTCTTCCTGGATAACAGTAGTGTCTGATGCAAGGTAGCTTTATATTCTTGCATCACACCCTGTGACAGGTCAGCATTGATGCATATGGGCCTGGGGAAAAACCAGGTCAAAGTCCTGGGATACTTTTGCACTTGACCTAGTTTGAATGGACTGGCTCAGCCAGATCCTTTACTAAGCCACAGGCAGTTAGTAGACTTTGAAAGGTTTCTCCCACCAGTTGTTGTCAGGGGGGTCCAAGGCCCAGATATTCACTCAGCTTTTGAACTGGGCTGGTTTGAAAATAGAAATTCCTATCGACTTTAGGGAGTGCAGCTTTAGTTATTGACGGAAAGTTCAGGTTTTCTAATGTGTGTAAAAGATAAAAGTCACCTTTCGATTTATACGACATCAGAATGTTCTGGTCAAGAGTTTAAAATGTGATCAACATAATATGGATTTCATGTTAGTAAAATTGTGTTGTGAAGGGCTGATTGGAAGGGAGTAGTTTTTTTGGTGCTGATTTTATGGTTTGTGCAAGTTCAGTTATTCATCATTGAAAGTGTTGTGATAAAAAATATAGGCCCCTACAATATTGTATGGAAATTTGTGATAACAAAAGGGCCACCTCAGACCTTTTTCAGCCCTAGGATTTACTGATTTACTGAACTAACTTCAGTATTGTTATGTGACAGCCTTTGTAGTAAAGGTGATCTTCCCATCAGTTTACAAAGAGGTGAGCCTGCCTTTTGTGAAGTTGTTTCTTATTCCCCTCTTTAAGGGTCAAAGGTTGAGTCTCCAACAAAGGTGACCTGCTGTTATGTTACTGTGTTCTAGATAACTGGTTAGTGTTATTAAAATAAAATTGCAATATCCAGTGTCATAGAGTGAAGTATTCTTCCTTTAAGAAGTGAAGAATTAAAGATCTCTTTCCATTGCCTCCCCAAGCTGTCTACTTTTTGGATGTTTTTAAGGCTTATTTTGGTGATCAACTAATTCTTCTTCACTGGCACGAGGTTTGCTAGCTTGAGGCCAAGTCAGGTGATATAAGAAAAATCCCTGTTTGTTTAGTCGGGGTGGTTTTGTTTGGGAGAATTTTCAGGCTCTTTTCAGCTCAGTTCAGTTGTTTTGATGTTGAAGGGCACTTTGTTTCAATCTGTAGTCTGTGTCAGGACTGAGTGAGTGGGCATCAAAGGTTCTTGATTTATTTGAAAATACTCTTGAAGAAAAAAACCAAACAAACTTATAAGTGTTCCAACAGCTGGGTTGTGAAGTTAACATCCTGAATCTACTGTACGACGCTGTTGCCTCTCTTTGCATAACACACTTGCTCTGCTTTTGATCAGCTCCATCTTCCCTGCCATATGGTTTCTCGACATGATGCCTTTACAGGAATACATAATTTGTTGCAGAGCCTACTTTCTACATAAATAATAATAATAGATAGCATTTGTATAGCGCATATCCCCGCTCATCAGCAGGCTCTATGCGCTTTACACTATATTATTACCCCAGCAGACCATAGAACACTCCGAAACAGTCTCAGCTTCCCGGGAAGCATACAGTGCAAGCAGCCGATTAAGCGCTCAAACACTAACAAACTGACAAGATCTTTCGCTGTCTATAGCCGGGTACTCATTCCCACCTGGGTGAAGTGAGGAAAATTCGTGTGAAGTGCCTTTCCCAAGGACACAACGTCGGGCCCTTGAAGGGATTCGGACCCACAACCTTACGGTTGCGAGTCCGAGAACCTAACCACTAAGCCACCGACGCCACATAGTCTAAATTGTATCAAAGTTTATGCAAACCACAATCAGTTTTTAGTGGTATGGTGTCTAATCGTGAGGGAAGGTTGCTCCTTCAAGTAAAATTGCAGGACTCTAGAGCTTGTTCTCATTTCAGGGTAACTCTTCTGATCGCATTATTCTCCAAGTTTCTGTGCACTTACTACCAACTTTCTATTATTCACATTCTTTTGCGCTTGGCAGGAGTGCACATTAATTGATTGATGTCAATAATGTTGTGTTTTGTGTTGCATATAATATGTAAGTGTAAATAAGTGCTGTGAGTGAAAAAAACTGGGAAATAATTTCGGTGCTGATCCTGTTTCTACTTTTTTTGGGGTTTATTTTTGTTAACTCCCACCCACCATGACTTTTCTTTCCTTTTGTTATTTCTGTTTGTCTTACTTTTTCTATGCACAATGTTGATGCACCCCTCTTAACTTAAACAAAGCCACTACCAGCAGCATTTGTGGTGTAATGGTTAGGCACTTCACTGTTACATGCAAAAAAGACAGGAGTTCGATTCCTTAAGGGGAAAGTTGATTTGTTGAGTTTTTCCATCTGTTTCCTAGGATGCTGTATATCCCTTACAGCATGCATGCTTAACAGCAACTTGCCCCTTAGATTAATCAAAACTGTGTCAGTGAGGATGCAAAACAATGACAGTGGTGTCTGCCTAACAATAATCCCCTTGGGAAGCTGGACTTGGTTGCTGTTAGGCAGACAATGCTTCTAACTGATGGATTGTCTATATCCAACGAAGGTTGCTGTTAGGCAGACAATGCTTCTAACTGATGGATTGTCTATATCCAACGAAGGTTGCTGTTAGGCAGACAATGCTTCTAACTGATGGATTGTCTATATCCAACGAAGGTTGCTGTTAGGCAGACAATGCTTCTAACTGATGGATTGTCTATATCCAACGAAGGTTGCTGTTAGGCAGACAATGCTTCTAACTGATGGATTGTCTATATCCAACGAAGGTTGCTGTTAGAGGGAAATATAGTTAGAGGGGCTTATTTGAATAGGAAATATTCCATTACGCAAGCTTGGGTTGCCGTTAGTTGGTGGTTGCTCTTTCTTGGGTTGCTGTTTAAGTGGACAGTACTGTGCAACTATTGCACTGAGGCAGCTGCCACTGATTGTCACGTTCTGTGTCCTCAGACCCCCAGAAGGTGCGGCCGCCCAACAAAAAGAAGTTTGACGATGAGATGGAGGACCTCCAGTTACGTATCAAGGAGCGAGAGACTCAGCTGGAGAAAGTCGTATCCTCTATCTTGCTCAGATTAAAAATTAAGAAACAATTTAATCTATCATAATTTGGGAATATTGTTGCTGTCCCAAGAAAAAAACCCGCCAACTTTTGTTGTCTGTCAAAATTTGGCAATACAGTTGCGAGCGCCGTAAAACCCTCTACTATAACTAACTATAATACATTAAAGGGTGGTCTTATGTGGACAGAGTCTGTAATGTGGTGTGTTTGTAGTTTCATTCTCTGTTCCTGGAGTTCTGGTGAAATAATGCAGTTATTATGCTGGCTTACCACAGACTGTGTCCTCGCAAAAACCTGGTGTTGGCTGCTTTTAGTTTTCTTTTCTGTGAGGATCCATTCCAAAGCCACACTTAGGTGTGACTGTTGTCCATTCATATTATCTTCATCCTCTGTGACCATGTTATAGCCACTTTCTCTTTCACACACAGCTGTGGTAGTGTTTCTTACCTACCTGTCATCTTATCTTTTATGAACCTGTGGATTCTTCCTGATAAGGAAAGTAGCATTGGTTAACCCCTCAGAATGAAGAAAAGGATAAGAGGAATTAGAACTTTTTCGAGAGGGTTGTTGTACTTTCATTTGGACCGATAATATTGTGTTATTAGTAGAGAAAAAAAAATGCACAGTGATTTTGATGCATGACCGTAGTCAGTTTTTCAAATGCTGCCCACACCAATACTTTGTTAGGAGTATCACAACACATTGTGAGAACTACCAGTCCCTGTGTCATTTTGAATTGTTCTGTTCCAATATAGTTGGTGGCTACTCTCTATAAGCTGCTCTGGAGATGCAGTTCGGTGGCTACTCTCTATAAGCTGCTCTGGAGATGCAGTTCGGTGGCTAAAAACTGACCTGTTTTGTCGTTTTTTTTTGACATCTTTGGAAATAACAAAGAAGTGAGAAATGTGTAACAAGACCCACATGTTTCCAAATTGTTTTTCTAATAAAATATTGGTTCGATTTCACCTTTCCTTGCCTTAGGTAACAGGTGTCTGGTTGAAGTTGCACCTTCTGTCTATTCCTTCCATCTTTATGACCCCTTGATCTCTGTGACATCATGAGCACTTTGACCGACCCTGGGATATGTTTCTACCAGTGCACTGTCTCAGCTTTCACTCTGTCCCTTATCTGTACGTCTTCGTCCCTTCAGTTTAACGATGTCACAGTCAGGGAAAGGAAACGTCAGTTGTGAAGTTGTGAGATTACAATTTCAGTGAACAAGAGGATTACTACTTTTGTTTAAATGGCTACCATGACTTCTTGTCCTTCTGCTGTTGAGATGACTGATAAGAGCTGTGTGCTTTCCATAGATACAATGGTTGAAGAGACAGCCATTGAATCGTCTCATATGGTATTTGCCTCCCTGGTTCATACTTTAAATTAGTTCTGTTTTTTTTGGGTCAAGTTTTATTGTCTGTTCAAGGACAAATTCCTCAGATCTTCATCTATTTTCTTATGGTCGTAGGGTTTGATGGAATTTTCATTATGGTCTTTTCTTGTTACTTCTATTCAGCATGAATTTTGTCTTAACTTGTGTGGTTTTAGGGTGCCACCAGTAGGTCCCACTTCTTTTATTTCCCTTTGTTGCTTTTGCCTGTCTGTCTTGCTTTGTTGGTGGTTGGCGGGTGCTCTGGTGTGGTTTGCTCCTTCTTTCATGTCAAACATATATTGTCCCTATCTCTGCTCCTATTTTGTGTTTGTTACTCTCTCTTGTAACAACACCTTTATCTTCAGTACTCATGACCATATTGTGCAATATCTTCTTGTGGGCAGTTGGTGGGTGCTCTGGTGTGGTTTGTTCCTGGACTTCTTTCCCATCAAACATCTATCGTCCTTATGTCCCTTCCTTTTTAGTTTTTGTTACTCTCTCGTAACACCTGTAATCTTTGGCACTTTTATGACCATATTGTGTTGTGTGTGCTGTAAAACGCTTACTAAAACAAACTCAAAGATACAGTTTACATTATTTCCAAACAGAATGTGGGTTGTTGGAAGGTGTTTGTGATAGGCCCTGCTTCTCTTCTTCCCCATTATTGTTTCTGTCCCTCTGTCTTACTTTTTTTTTTTACTGCATCAAGGGATTGTTAATGTGCTTTTCTTTACTCAACTTTTATAATTGACCAACCTCTTCTTGTATGTGGGTTGGGTGTGGTTGGAGGGCACCTCTGGTGTGGTTCGCTTCTTCTTTCCTATCAAACATCTATTGTCCTTATCTCCCCTTCTTCTTTTTTATGTTTGTTACTTTCTTGTAACACCTCTAATCTTCTGGCGCTTATATGACCTTATGCAGTTGCGAGCGCCGTAAAACCTCTACTAAAACTAAACTAACCTTTTTTTGTGTTTGTTACTCTCTTGTAACACTTCTGATCTTCGGCATTTATAATATAAATGTGACCTTTTTGTTTTGCAAGTGCTGTTAACTCTTACTAAAACAAAGAGACACATGTGGGTTGTGGGTGGTTGGAGGGTACCTCTGAGAGGTTCAACTTTTTCTTTCTCTGTATTGTTTCTGTCTACTTATTTTGCCCCCTCACCTCCCCCCTCCCGAATCATCCCTGATCCACACACTGTGCATGCCTCAAAAGACCATTGTTGTACTGGCATGCTTCTCTCGAATGAAATAAAATATATTTGGGTTTTGTCTTAACCACGTTGAAAGAAATCCGGCGGCAATGTCAGCATCTCCCAGCAGCTGAAGACGCTGAAGGAGAAGAAGGGTGAGGCCATTGCCAACCGCAGACAGATTGATGCGGAGCTGGACAAGGTCAACAAGGACATTCCAGAGAAGGTATAATAACAAAATCTGCAGAACTGAAGCTGTAGACTATTTTAGGGTGTTAACCAAATCTTAATGTTCAGTAGTGGTGTCAGCTGAACGGGGACTCCTTTGGGAAGCAGGATTTGGCTGCTGTTAGGCTGAGGCTGCAGCTAACTGAATTTTCAAAGGGTGGATAATCCCCCACCCACTCGTTCTCTTCCTTCAGACACACACAAGCACACACACATGCAAGCATGCGCACATACATTCACACACACTCACCCCCACCCTTGCGCACACACACACACACACACACACACACACACACACACACACACACACACACACACACACACACACACACACACACACACACACACACACACACAGACACACACACACAAACACTCACACACACACACACACACACAGACACACACACACACACACACACACACAAACACTCACTCACATGTGTACCCACACACACACTCACACACATAACACACACACACAGGCACACACACATAACACACACACACAGGCACACACACATACACGTATTCAAAGGATGTGATAGTATTGTCACATTAGAAAGTGACAACCTAGGCAGCTTCAGCATTGAAATGAACTGATGCTTGATCACAAGGTGAATAATGTTATGCACAGTTGCTAAGCACAGTACCCTTCCCCCCACCCCCAGCAAGGAGACTTTTGGAGGAATATGGCTCTTCTTGGCGAGGGGGTGTGAACTGAGATTCAGTAGTAGCGGAAGTGTATTTCTAGCCGGAGCTGGTGTTGTACAGATAAACAAGAGAAGATTGATACAAATTACAGACCATTCTTATTGTTCACCCTGTTCATGGATCCTCAAAAGAGTTTTTGTTGAACAATTAGTGGCAACAAAGTTTGCCGTTAAAAGAAAAGATTGCTGTTAATGGGGATAATTTGTATAGGAAAATTTTGCACAAGCTACAGGCTTAATTCCTTGCCCACTAACTTATTGTTACGAGAAAGGGACTGTTAGTATAGGTGACTTGTATGGAGTGTTCTCACCTCCGATTTTTATACTGTAGCAGTTAAACACGTTGCTGTTGGATACAGGAGGCTTGAGTTTGCTTCCGGGTGGGAAGGATTTTTACCGAGCATCATGGGCTTTCTGCTGGGAATCCTAACAGGTAGTGTGAAATTTGGCTTTCTAAATGATCTAAATTGTGTCGAAGGGGTATAAAAAAATGTATATTTAAAAGAAAAACATTTTTTTAAACTTCAGACACGAATAAGAAACAGTAGTTATAGTGAAGAATTTAAAACACAGGCTTTAAAAAAAAGTATCTTTGCCTCTTTTCGTTTGACAGATGAAGCAACAGACCAAGCTTGAGTCGTACCTTTCATACCGTAGTGAGGACAAGATCAACGCCGCCATCCAGTGAGTTTTACTTTACCACTATTGATTGAATTGTTTAACATCTGCTTGATGGTGTAGCGTTTGGGCCTCTGTATTCTTGTTTGTTTGGGTTGATGAATCTGTTATGTTTGCTTTCGAAAGAGATTTACAGCAGTGGATGGTTGTCGGGTGCTTCTGTATGGTTTGCTTCTTCTTTTTTTTATCAAACATTTGTCGTCATATATAGATTGTTTAGTATCTTTTGGGTGGACTGCAACATATTTTTAGTGGCCACATGATGAACAATGGCCCCAAACTTGATTGTCTTTCTATCTGTTTGCCTTTTTTCCATAGCTCAGTCGTCATGTCATATTTATCTCTTTTTTCAGTCTTTTACTTATTGTGCTGTTTATTAGTATGAAGTAGTTAAAATATGTTGAACAGAAGTCGATATATTTGCCTTTGAAGCATGTGAGGGTAGCCTGGTTTCAGAGGCAAAATAAGTGAGAAAATAGGTGCCAAAGTTTGGTGACTTCCATAGCTTGAGTCCTTGGAAAATGAAAATGAAAATTTACAATTTTTGTGCCTTAAATCAATGTTTTTCTGTAAAATTCACACATTAATCTGTTATTAAATGGACATGAAAGTTATTGAACCAAAAAAAGAAAATAAAAAAATATATTGGCCTTGGCCAGAAAAATGCCAGTTTCCGTGATTTAACTATTTTGTCGAGCACCTGATTTCACCGTGCCTCACTTATTATTTTTTTTAACAAAGAAACATAATTCTAATATAAAGTTTCTTTGATTTATTTGTGTTTTGAAAAAAACCAAACGTTTTGCTATTTTAAAAAAAAGTTTCTAATCAAATATTTGTGTTCTACGAAACTAACATAATAATGTGCCTCCTTCCTCAGTCGCCTAGAGTGGAACCTGAACGCTCAGAGATTCAAACTGTCAGAAGAGAAGAAAATTGTGTCAGAGATAGACCGGCTCAAGAGATCAAAGAGGACCCTTGTGTATGTGTTTAAAGGAGGGAAAATGAGAGAGAGAGAGAGAGAGAGAGAGAGAGAGAGAGAGAGAGAGAGAGAGAGTGTTTTGAAAGGACACTCGTGTCTTTAAAGGTCATGAAATGTAGAACAAAGATTTTCCTGTCTAATTCAAAATATCAGTAAAGTCAGTTTTGTTTTCCTCGTAGGTATCTACCCTTTTTGTATCTTTCTTTTCTAGATAGATTTTTTTTATGGTTTGTTTTTGGTAATTCTTCTTTTCTTAAGTAATATTTTGTTGTTATTTTGTATAGTGGTCTTGCAATCTCCTACCGAGTAATTCTCTTCTTTTCTCTTAAAAATTTTTTTTTTCCTGTTGGCAGTGAAAAATAACACTATTTCATGCCTTTGAAATAGACATTTAACCTGTGACTAATTCATGTGTCCCTTTTCAACTGTCTCTCTAAAATCTCTTTGTTCTCTTATTGTCTTTCAGTCAGTATCAGAGTGTACGTCAGGAGATCGGAGCCCTACGGGACAAGCAGCGGAAGATGAGGGAGGAACGAGATGTAAGTTATGCTTTTGTTTGTTGGAAAATTTAATAATAAATAAATTGCTTTTATATTGCCCATTTTCATTTTGACGAGATGCTCAACATGCATTACTGTAAAACATAGGAACGCAAACACATGCACTACCGAGAAGGGTAAGGAAATTAAGCACGGTTTGACACACTTGTACATTGATAGAAATTCGTTAATACAGACCCTTAATATCAGAAAACATAACTCTGCATGACATGCGATATCAGAGTACTAGGAATGTACTCTTACCATCGCTGGTTGCTTCAGCACCTGTTCCTAATTTTCGTGTTGTTTCTATAGTTTTGTTTGAATTTTCCTAGAAGGAGGGGAAATTAAATTTCTGCTGGGTTCTGAGGAGGATTATTTTCTAAGGCTACTGATATTTTCTACTTCTTAATGGAGATTGAGGTCCACATTTTAGTTTTGTGTTTCATTCACTCTTATAACTGTATAAAGTATCAAACTGCGTAAAGCACCTAGAGCTATGTGTACATACTAATAAGTGCTTAAAATAATCTTCATTATTATTATTATTATTATTGTTATTAATGTTAGAAATCTTTTTGTTGCTCCCGGTAGAAATACTTTCGAGCTGTGAGTGAAATCAAAGAACACGAGAACAAGTTGAGGATGAACAGCTCTGCGGCTAAGTCTTCGTTCAGTACGCTCAAACAAGGTGAGAGATCGAGAGATTTGGGTGCTGGGCTCACATAAGTTGATGATAATAGTATTTTTGTTTTTTTCCTCATCATGGTTGGTTGGTTGGACATACAATGCCAATGGTAGGTCCTGCTCCTATTCTTTTCCTCTGTTGTTTTTGTCCATTTTGGGTGGTCAGAGAGTGCCTATGGTATGTCTTGTTTCTTTTTTTTTTCCCCTGTGTGTTGTTTCTGTTTGCCCTACGTTCCCTAAACTAAATGGTAATTTGTGTCGATGTGATTCTCTGTAGTTAACCTCAAAATATTCTTGTCTCAATTTTTCTGTCTGCTAAAGAACCATCACGCTGTTGATGTCCTTCACTGTACTCAAACTGTCCTACTTTTTTCTGTTGGTGTTTGGTGGGTGCTCTGGTGTGGTGTGCTCCTTCTTACCTATCAAACATCTATCGTCCTTATCTGTCCTCCTCTTTCTGTGTTTGTTACTCTCTTGTAACACCTCTAATCTTCGGCTCTTATCTTACCTGTTTGTGTTTTCAACTGCCGTAAATAAAAACTCTCACTAAAACTAAACTTTATCTGCCGTTATTCAAACTCAGAAGTGTAGGTGGTTGGCGAGTGCTCTGGTGTGGTTTTCTTTTTTTCCTATGAAACATCTATCGTTCTTATCTCCCCTTCTTCTTTTTTATGTTTGTTAATCACTTGTAATGCCTCTAGTCTTCTGGCACTCATTTGACCTTATGCAGTTGTTAGCGCCGTAAAACCTCTACTAAAACTTAAAAAACTCAAAAGTCTGTTTTATTTAATTTCTTTCATCTTTTCTTTCTCTCCTCCCTCAGAGATTGACGAGCTGTATGAGCGCCGCCGCCAGCTGGTGGCCATCTACCGCAGGGACCGCGACTCTTACCAAGGTGTGCGCGAACAGAGGCGGCGAGACAGCTGGAAGCGGAAGGACGAGGACAGGAGAGCCTACCAAGCGGGCCGGTTAAAGCAGCAGTGAGTGAACTTGTGTTTGTATTTTGTGAAGTCTGTTGACAAAGTGACCTTACTTCTCAGTAACGAGAGTAAGGAAATTAAGCACGGTTTGACACACTGGCACATTGATAGAAATTCATTAATACAGACACTGTATGTGTTACACTATCAGAAAGCAGACTCTGCATGACATGCGATATCAGAGTACAAGGAATGTACACTTACCATCGCTGGTTGCTTCGGCACCTGTAAATGGAATCAACAGGTGCTCCTCATGTTTTGGGCATAAGGAGTTGGTGGTTGAGTGGTACAGCCTTGTGTTTGCTGGAAAAAATGCGCTTCTATCTTGAATGGAAATTGAGATATTTGTGATCGAAGGAGATGTGGTTTGCCTTGTATCAGATGTAAAATTAGCAAGAAAATGGGCATGAAGGTTTGGTGACTTGCTAAGCTTGAGTGTCCTTGGAAACTCCATTTTGACATGCTTTTGATTAATGTTTTTAAAGTAAAATGCATGTAGGAATATATTTTTTCATGCACTCTAAAGATGTTGAGCCCAAAACCAAAAAATTGATTAAAATTGCCAAACAGGCAGAGAATTTTTTTTTTTCGATAGTATTTTGACAAGCGCCTGATTTCACCATGATGCCACATCATGCCTAATGTATAGGTTGAGTTTGGACAGTTTATTAGTATGAAGTAGTTACAGGTATGTCAGACTTGAAGAAACTGACATCAGTTAAAAATCTACCAATTCGTGGATTTACTGTATTGTGAGAAGTAATTCCTTTTGTCAGAATGCAACATGTTTTGTTGATATCCAGTATGGGTCAAGTCAGAACTTACCATTGTGTTCTTAAGTCTCCTACCAAAAAGGATGGAAAAGATGAAAAGATGAATTGATCATTTTTACAGTTTTCCATGCCCGCTTCAATAATATGTTATATGAGTTTATCTGTCAATGTCTGAGGTTGACCAATGCATGTGCAAAAGAGAATATTTTAAAAGAGAAATAGAAAAAAAAAAAGGATTATGATGAAGTGTGGCATCTGCTATGGCCAATGATGCCAAAGAGGCCAATGCAGTCGCAGAAGAGTTTGCTTCATTTTGAGGATAGTCTAAGATGGCCCCCCATTGTTGAGGAGAAAAGTGATTGTCTAGGACAGACGTAAGCCTTGGACAGTATGGAAAAAAATGCAAGAGGGAAATGAGAAAGGATCATTTGTACAGATGACTGTTTTGGACATTTTGGCCATTCAGCTGTAACTTCATCTCGGCCACTCGGCTTACGGCTGTTATGTATCACTATACCAAATGGTATCTTACACTAAACGGTCGATCTGTGTACTGGAATGCTGTATCCCATTCAACTCTGGCTGACCCTGGCATGCATGGTTTGGTGGTTCGCAAGTGCTCTGGTGTGGTTTGCTCCTTCTTTTCTGTCAAGCATGTATGGTCCTTATCTCTCCTCTTTCTTTTTTTTGGTTTTTTACTCTCTTGTAACACCTCTAATCTTTGGCACTTATTTGACCTTAATGTGTTGCAAGTGCAGTAAACGGCTTTCTAAAAACTTCGTGAACATTATCATGTTGATGAGGCTAACCACATGCATACAGATGATGAAATGATTTACATGATTTTTATTGTTTGTTTCTGGCAGAGTGGACCTGGAGATGGAGCGACTACCGTATGAGTCAGAGCTCCACGCTTGCACCACCTTGTTGAACCATCTGGGCCGTCTGACGGCCGGCAGCCAGGAGAGCTCTCTGGACAGCCTCTCCCCAGCTTCTAGCCAGGGTAAGTGTGGGAGGGAGGTAGGGGAAGAGAGAGGGAAGAATGGATGAGAGAGAGAGAGAGAGAGAGAGAAAGAGAGAGAGAGAGAGAGAGAGAGAGAGAGAGAGAGAGAGAGAGAGAGAGAGAGAGAGAGAGAGAGAGAGAGAGAGAGAGAGAGAGAGAGAGAGAGATAAAAAGGTGTTGGGGGGGGGGGGGGGTGGTGCAAAACAGACGTCTTGTTTGTGCAAATATTACATCATCAGTCTAGTAGTCTTTGAAAATAAGGCTGAGGTGAATCAGGAGGAACCTGCAGGACTGCATTTCAAAGTGAAATGCCCTCTAAGTAATAATAGTTTAGAGCGTGGGTAGTTGATGGGTGCTTTCATGTGGTTTGCTCCTTTTTTCGTATCAAACATCTCTTGTCCTTATCTCTTTTTCTCCTTCTCTCTTTTATTACTGTCTTGTAACACTTTGAATCTTCTGCTCTTATATGACCTATTTGTATAGCAAGTAAAGTAAAACGCTTACAAAAACTAAGCTAGCTAGTAGATTTATAAGTTTTTTACTGACCTTCAGACGACCCTGATCTTGTGGAGGAGATGGATGATGGGCTGTACGTGTTGCTCAGGAAAAGTGACGACCTGGAGGGGCCAGACTACTCCTCTGTCGGCATCCGCAAGCTGAGCAGGAAGAACCGCCGATCTCGGAAGCAGTCGATGGTGGGTTGTTTGTGGGGATTTGTGTGTTTTGGTGGGTTGTTTGTGGGGGATATTTTGTATTGGTGGGTTGTTTTGGAGGGGATTTGGTAAGTTGTTTGTGGGGCTTTGCCTTTTGGTCAGCCGTCTGTCTCAGTTTGTCTGTTGGTAGGTTGCTGTGGGATTTGTCTTTTGGTGGGATGTTAGTGGAGCTTTGCAGTTCAATTTTAGTGTAAAGTCTTTCTGTGCCATGCACCAATATTCCTCAGCCTCTTTATACAACATATTGTCAGTGTCTTTCCACAGTCGACCAAAAAGGCAATGTCATATGATCTAATGTAGTTGCGGATGCTGTAAACTTTTACCAAAGCTGAATTGAAAAAAAAAAAAAAATCATTTAATTCAATGTAATCAGTTTCCAGATAAAGCTGTTATTTATGAATTAACACATCAAGGGCATCTTATAACATATACTCTTTAACATTTTTAACTTCACACCTCATGTTAAAGGCAATATCTTGACTAATATTTATCAAATCTGTCTGAAAATTTCGATAAGACAGTGCATTCATTTTAGAGCAAGGGAAACATGTGGAATGCAAAGTTAAGAATAATTTTAACCTTCAATTTTGAACTTATGGCTGTCAGGGGTCTAAATGAAAAGTGACAGGTTTCAGTAACGTGTGATTAAAATCTGGTGTTGTTCACTTCCTCACATATCGTTGACGCGTGGGCGGATGAATCGAGGTATTGTCTATTGAGGGTTAATATTCCACCCTTAAATTAAGACTTGTTCTAACAGAGAAAGGAACCCGGCCAGGCATGGTCTGGCACGAATGGCGCGATCTGAAATGTCCGGCAAGTGTTCAATTGGATTGAGATTTAGTGAATGTCCGGACATTTCAGATCGCGCCATTCGTGCCAGACCACGCCTGGCCGGTCAGGGGTGCAGGAGAGGAATGTTGTTAGTTTTGAGAAATTGATTTGTCACTGCAGCCTTATGAGCAGGTGCATCATCGTTCATGAATGCTTGTCCTTGGGCTTGATTTTGAAAGAAAAGTACATTGGGCCCAAGAACTTGGTTGAATTAGCCTTGAGCTGTTATGTCAACATCACTGGTACCAGCCTACACCGTGACAAAACCTTCACCAAAATTATTTGCTTGTTTAAAGTAAGCTGGGATGTAAACTTTGTTCTGGTCTTCTGTAGACTCTGGGCCGTACATAGTGCTGTTCCAGTTGAAATTTGACTCATTGGAAACATGTACGTATTTCAATTACGACATGCTATCACACGCGGCGCTGTGCTCTGTGAAGTCTCTGCTGGATGTGATGGGGCTGCAGTTTTATGCGACAAACTAGGCGCCTAGTTCGAAGGTTCCCCTCTTTCAAACGAAGAAGAACGGTCATGACAAAGATCGGACTGCCATTTCTAAGTCTGTTCAACTCATCCTGGGCCTTTGTTTGCCGCTTGAAATTGATTTCTCAATCGCTGCGCTAGGATGAATGTCCACCCTCTGTTTTGTCTTTCTGCGTCCCACTGACTTGGGTCTGTCCTTTTAGGAACCTATCATTGCCATGTAATCCCGTGTGGTATACACAGTGTGTCCGTTCACGTTGAACCTTCTCGCGACTAACAAAAGTGGAGTGCCCACCTGAAGCATTTCACTGATGTGATTTTTATTTGATTCATTCAGCCAAAGCTTGATGAATTGATAAAGAAAAGCCCCCTTTTTATGTTCTGAAAAATTTGGAAGGAGCCCAACTTTGCGTGCGATTTTGTTTTCAAAGTTACCCACATATTTTCACAGTATTTGACAAAATATCAAAACCCCATGAATGGCATCACAAGGTCAAAACGATAGACCGGTGCACCCTAGTGAGTACAGTTCACGAACGACAATGAGGTTTTGTGACATGTGTAAAAATGTCAAAGTAGTGGGATGTATAGTTTTTGAACTAGACTCTTTTCAAATGTGTGAAGTTAAAAATGTTGAAGAGTATAGTTTCATCTTGTTTTGTTATTTCTGTCCTTATTTGAGAAAATCACAAATATCCTGGGTAAACCACTGGTTTGGGCACTTTCTTTTTCTTTCTCTTAACTTAAAAAATGGACGATTTTAAACTGTTGTGGAATGATGCTGTGGTCTGTCTGTTGAATTCACAACTAAATGACACTATTTTTCTACCTTGACTCCACTAGGTGAAGAAAATTGTGCACACTCCTGAGATTCTGGCAGATTTCGTGACCCTTGGTCTCGAGGCCCCACACACGATGAAGGAGGTTCTGGAAGTCACGGAGAAGCTCAAGGCCAAGAGGGTCAGTTAGACTGCTGTACTTAAAGTGAACACTTTCTGATTGGCCTTTTTTTTTTTTTTGGTCCTCTTTGGTTTTTCTGGTTTTGTTTTTTTGTTTGTTTTGACTGTAGGATAAGAAATAAATTCTTGCTGGAAATAAGAGTTTTTAAGTAAACAAGTGTTTACCTGCAGATCAAATCTTATGCGGTTTCTGGTAAATTTTGTACTTTAGTAAAGTACCTGCATCTCTCCTCCTTTTCTTTGTATGCTACTTTCTACTGATGCCTCTAATCTTTTGCACTTATATGACCTAATTGTGTTACTGGATCTGAAAGACTTGTACTGAAACTAAAACTAAAACCTACTTTTTTTTCACAAGTGTGGGGGTTGTAGGTCCAATTGTTTTTTTTCTGTTATGTCTCAATGTGTCTTTTTTTTTTTTCCTGCTTTAAAGGACTGGTACAACAAAAACTTGCTTATAACGAATTCGGCAGGTCTGACTTCAAGCTCATTGAATGCGAGTATTGGCTATAAGAAAGGTGTAACTACACAGACTTGAGTATTTTCTATAATGACAATGGTACAATGATAGATACAAATCTGTTCTGAATGTGCCACTGTGCGAGTATAAAGGAAAATTAACAATAGTGCTCCAAAGTGCTTGCCCATTAGAACAGTTGCCTCCCTTGGCACAGCTGAGCAATATTATGGTTGAGCTTTTGTCACTCAGCAAATGAAAGCTACCCTTTACTCAAGCACAGATGATTGGGAGGGCGACACTGGTAGATGTATCTTCTACTTTTCGCTCTATTTCTGATGTCCTACTCTTCCCCTCTGCTAATTATCTGTTATTGTGGCAATGTCATTCTTTTCATTCAAACTTAAACTCATTTTCCCAGGCGTTCTTTGAGCGAGAGCAGCAACCAAATGAATCGTCCAGCGATGCTGGTGTCTCTGCCACGGAGAGCATCATCTGTGAGCTGTCGCGACAGGCCAGCAAGACGGAGAGTTGTGAGGGAGCTGCTGACACACACCCGGGTGAGCAGGTCATGGCCGATTTGTTGAAGGATTGTCATGGTGATGGTCAGAACGTTGAGGATCCCGAGGCTGAACAGGGAGCTGTGGGTGGGAGTCATGGCTCAGAGACTTCTGACACTCTCAGCCCGCAGAGCGATGATCTTGAAGGAGTGAGAGGAGGAGAGGGGAAAGAGGAGGAAGATCAGGGTGTGTCTGAGAAGAATTCAAAGCTATTGTGCCCAAAGCCCTCAGTTGTTGTGACTCCGTCAGAGGAGATGGAAGGGGACTGTAACTTGATGAAGTCGTGGCCCGCTGCAACCGGAGTCAGTCGCCACAACACTTGGTCGGAGGCTTCATTGCACCGCATGCCTGCCCGTGGTCGAGGGGAGAGCGGAGAATTAGCGGGACATTCTGTGAGTAGGAGAGAGAGCTGGAAGCTGCGACATCAAAAACAGCACCTGAGTGGGTCTCAAAGTTCTTGTGATGTGGAGAGGCCATCTTCCTTATGGTCCACGGCGCCTCCAACAATCACTCCTGATCTCTCTACTCAAAACACCCTGTCACTAACGTCCCCTCTAGATTTCCCGTCGCTTGCGCCCACCACCTCAAATGTTTTTGTAAACTCTTCACAATCCAAGGATGACAACTTTTTACTTGCCCAATCACCACTTGGCAGTCCGCGCTCAAAGCAGTGGTCTGACACGCCTGGTGTTGACCTCACGTCCAGTGGTCAGTGGGCAAGCAAGCATCAGACCTTAGCCCAGCGGCTCTCCTCCCCGACTTCTTTAGGGTCGAGTTTGGATAGTAGACCTCAGCAGGTTGTGTCACCTGCCGACCCCTCGTCGAGTAAGACGCATGCGAAATTGAGGAAAGGACTTTCTAGCCCTGTGTATAGCATGGCACCAAAGCAGCCCACCGACGCACCACGACAGCCACAGCAGCATCACCCACCACCGAAACACAAAACCCTCGCTCAGAGATTGTCTAGCCCCGTTTCGTCGGGTTCAGGACCAGAAACAAAACCTGCGGCTGCCGAGTCATTTGGAACGAGTGGACATAGAGCTGCCCGCCGCCAAGCCTTAGCGCCTAAACTCTCAGCCCCCACCCCTGCCTCTGCGTCGACGGGCGGTTCTGTTTATCCTCGCCAGCCGCCACTCTCCCTTGACAGTGCAGAGTTTCCCCCCTTGTCTCATCAAACCACTGCTGCAGCTCCTTTCCCCAGAAGACGAGGGTCCACATTTTCATCTGGCAGTAGCTCTGTCACCCAGGAGCTGACCACCAGCTCAGCTTCCCCAACAGTTCCAGCCAGTGAACAACAGCACCAACAGCTGCTGTCTTCATCATCGTCTTTGTGCACAGCCGCAAAGGGAGCTGCTGACACACCCGTTGCGACAACAACATCCCCTAGAGATCCCTCGTCTCGAATCGTAGCTGGAGGAGGTGTAGCTCCTGTGGCAATGACCTTGACCCCACCAACACCACAACCACAACCGTCACATCCCAACACGCGGCCGCCACCCTTGGTGACGAGCAAGCTGGGACCTGTGGATAAGTCATCTACAGAGCGGTGGGTGGAGTCAAGTGTGGTATTTACCAAAGACCTGGGTGCGGACGAATCTGGATTGTCTACAGAGTCCACCCGTCTTTGAGGTCGTGTCACAATGTAATGTCTTTCATAGCTCGTTCAATCAGAAGCATACAGGACTTGCTTGGATTATGCATCATCATTAGCCGATTTATACCATCCCTGACTCACAGAAATAGAAGCGAGAGCGAACGAGGCAGTGAGTCTCCCTGGATTATATGCATTGTCATTCGCTGAATTATGCACGGAAATGGATTGTTACTGAGTAGAAATTATAGCAAAAGGTACAATGGCCTGCTTGGATTATGGTCATAATCTGAAGTATGCATGGAAGTAGACTGTCACAGAAGTAGAGACGTGAGCAAATGTGGAACGACGTGGTGGAATCAGATGCCTGACAGGTTTTGGGCATATGGAGTTATTGGTATAATCTTAAAGCCTGTTCATTAGCCTTGCCTTTGATGAAAGAAATACCCTTTTATCTTGAATAGAAGTGGAGATATATGTGATTGAAAGATATGGGGGTTGCCTGGTGTCAGAGGTGAAATTAGTGAGAAGATGGCCGCCAAAGTTTAATGACTTCCTGAGCTTGGTTGTAACTGCAGACTTAAATCTTATCCTTATATGCTTTTGATCAACATTTTCAGAAAATCTATACAAAAAATATGTTTTTGAATGGACATATTAAGCCCAATACAATAAATTGGATAAAAAGTGCCAGACGGGCAGGAAAATGTCGGTTACTCTGATTTCATTATTGTGGTGAACGCTTGATTTCACCACGATGCCATGTAAATGATGCGGTGAGCAAGTTTTTGAGGTGGCTGTGGGCAGCAGCCATATTCATTTATCCATCTGTTGTGTACATTCATGCAATGGTTAGTTTTGCTTTTGATTGAGGAAAATGTGAAGATTGTTGACTTTGGTGTCAAACTGTTTGCTCCCTAAATTATAGTTCTATTTTTATTATAGTTATTATCGTCATCTGATTGCACTTATGTCTCATGTCTTTATTGTTGCAATACGAAAGTTGAGAAGTAATTCATTTTAGATTTTAATTGGGGTCATTGTTCATATGTTTAATTCTCTGACTTCTGCTCCCTACTGTCATATATGATTTGTCAAAATGAGCCCTGTGGTCACTGAAAATGAGGCGTTGAAAGAGCCAAAACAGAGTCAAACTTGGGATCTGCCTCTATGGTAGTTTACTTATTTATTACCTTCCCATGGAGAAGCATATGGCTGCTGTGAAAGGCACGGGGTCCGTATTCTCATATCTCATTCTGTATGCTATTATCAACCTTACTGAACTCTGCTGACAGACACCTGATAAGTGTATGCATTTAGTTTTGTTCACTGATTTACCTCTGTGTTCAGCATATTATTCCATATCATATATATTAAGTGATAGGAAATGGAAGGGGAGATTTGAAAAAAACTTATTGCTTTTGGATTTAAGCTTTGATATTATTCAGTTAAGTCTGAACTGGAATAATTCAAGTATTTATAGGGGCATAAAGTAGAGCTGGTGATAGGGCTTGTCGTAGGGATGACAAAAACTTTGAGCTAATGAATTGGCTTGTCCTAGGGCATGCATTAAAAGAACGGCGGTCAAGACTCCATGGGTAGAGGAAGCTGATGTGGGCTGCCCATGAGAAGAATTCAGAAAAACCACAAGGATGTTTGAGAGCTGGGAGAAGATGATTTTACTCTGCAGAAATGTAGAACAAATCTTAACTTGTTTGGAAAATGAAAGTTTTCAAACTGTTTTTGGGGGAAATTCTGCCTTTTCATTTTTATTGACTTCTTTAGCCTTAACTTACTGGCTGAAATTGAAATACCACCACAAAGTATGTGACAAAGTTGACCTGGCTGTTTGTTGGTTGTTGGAAGCTGAAACCCATTTTACATTTTATGTTCCTTACTTTAATAGTTTCAGATTTGGCATTGAATGCTTCTCATTAACTTTTTGTATTGTTGTATATAAATGCCTTTAGAGTAGGGCTGGATTCTACTCGATTAATCGAAGACTTGCAAAGCAGCGGATGGCTTGCGCTAGAGGCTTGCGAGCAGGCTTGTGCTTTGCCTCTCGCTTGCTACCGGGGGAACTTTCAGTGAGTTGTGACTGGTGGACAGTCTTGCTGTACTGTATTGTGACGCCGTGAACCTTCGTGGCTGTGGGCTCAGTACATATTACAGAAAATTCTGTGGTTATTTGCGTTGAGAGGCTTGCACCAAAAGTGCAAGATCGTTTTTTTTTCTTAGTCGGGTGTAAAAAATAAAAAGCTCTATTCAATGCACTTAAAAATTAATTTTGGATCGGCTATTTGTACAATGTAAAAGCCTGTTTATTTTTAATGTGTATGAGCCAAGCGCTTCATCGTTGCATGCAAAAGACCTCAGTTCGATTCCCGCATGGGGAGAAATTTTTACTGAGAACCTCCGTCTTTCTGCTGGGGCGTTGTTCCCTCTCAGCCCAGGTTGGCCCTGACATTGGGTTGAAGTAGGCCTCGCCCGTCTCCTAAATGTTCTGTATTATGTCACTGTGAGTGTAACACATCTACAAAATAGGTTACATACATACGATACAAAAGCCAATCACGACTCCTAGAGTTTTCCATTCTAGGGTAATCTAAGTCTACTTATTCTTATTACTACCAGAAACCTAGGTCTCTGGTACTACAATACTACGCTCCCTCTCACTTATCCACTCGCTTAGCTGATCAACGGCGGGAAGTTAAAAATAACTTCAGCTCTCTACGTCTTGCACCAAAACAAGTACAGCCTCTCCCTTCCTCCACGGTTCAGAGTTCACACAGCGAGCGTTACTGCTGCTCAAACACAGTGAGCGGTCCTGCTGCCTGCCGCTCGCTGCTACAGCGAGACAACACAAGTCAGCAGAGTGATTTGTCAGGCTTCGAGCTGGTCCTGGGACAATTAACTGATTCACTGGCACAAAGCAGTACTATGTGAATCATGGGGCTTGTGGCTGCGGACGAGATTTGAGACTTGACGGCTGTCCGTTTCTTGCAAGCCTTCAATTAATCGAGCAGACTACAGGGCTACGCCGCGCAGTGACACTGAGCGGGTCCCTCACTCTCCCCCTCTCTCTTTTTCCGACGTAAGTGGCTTCGCGGATTGTGAGCAGGGTGGGGATGATGAGGGGGTCTGACACGAGTGGCTTCGCGGATTGCTAGTTGCTGTGGACTTGAAGTTTAAACTAGACCAAGGAGGTTACAGTTTGCGCTTGACTCAACTTATCATGCTGGTGATTTGATTTGATGATTTGACCTAGTGATTTGAGGCTTGTGACTTAAACTAGGGGCTTGCGAGCATGAGCTGGTTTGCTACCGGGGTACAGCTCTACTTTAGAGCAAATTTGTTTAAAAACGCTCTTATTTTCAGATTTTCTGGAATGAGGGGTTGTTCTTGTTCTGGAGCAAACAAAATCAACCTCAAAAATACTATAGGCTCATGATGCAGTGTTGTTTCCCATTCCTGAACCATTGGTTTTACTGATAGCAAGACCAGAGTATTTTTGTTCTTTCGTGCCTCTTATCATCAGTACTTTCAACTCAAGTTTTTAATTCCTTTTGTAAATCGTGTTGGGAGTCGATACAAAGGCTGACGACCCTGTTTTGTCTCAACAAAGTTATCTTGGTTGTGGTCATTTTGGTGATTGAGATGGAAACTGTGTTTTCTTCAGCAAATACTTTTTATGGGCAATGTGAGCCTTCCCCATTTGTAATTTCATGATTCTAGCTGTGTGTGTTTTGTTCTTGTTAATATGTAACACTATTGCAAAATAGTCCTTTTCAGAAGCTTCTGGTTCAACATAGGGCATTTGAAGCTGAGGACATTTCTCATTGAAGGACAGGGGAAACTTTTACCTGGCTCGGATTCATACATCAGACTGCCATGTATTTGTCAAATTTGTATTTTACAGCTGCTGGTTTTACGTGTGTGCAGTGTGTGTGTTTGTGTAGTGTGTAAGTGTGCATGTATATGTACGTATAGAAGTATATTATATGTGTGTGTTTGTGCTCATGTGTGAATGTTAATACCATTGTATTTACATCGCTGCATGGTATTTCTGGATCAGCTCAGTCTGTTGTTCTTTTTGTATTGTACAACAGAAAGACCTTTTTACATTTGGTCAGAATGACTGGGGCAGACCCGCAGTAACTTATTTAGAAAGCCTGAACAGGTGGGTGATGGGGTAACACAAGGATAGTGTGGACATTTTTTTTATAGCATCTGAGTGGAGAAATGAATGGAGAACTATGATCGCCGATGACTGTTTCAGATCTATCACTTTCTGATAATAATGTTACACTTTAATTGGTTTTTCTACTGTAACCTCTATCCGACACGTCCACATGTTTCCATCCTGTCCAGTTAAAGCACTGTATGCTGCTGTAAGGATGAAAGTGTGTGAAGCTGAGTACCCTTCAGTCAAGATGAAAGTCAACTGACTCAGACTGTACAGTTAGTTGTCTGTGGTGCAGTGGGTTAGCTCTTGGCCGGTGCACGCAGAAGACATGAGTTTGATTTTCACGAGGGCGAGATTTTTTTACTGAGTGTCTCCGTTTGTGTGCTGGGATGCTGTGTCTCATTCAGCTTGGGCTGGCCCTGACAATCAGGGTCAAAGCTGCCAATCTGTTTAAGTTATATGATCTAAATTGTGTCAATGGGAGAGTGTGAATGTTTACAGTAAGGTCACACTGATTCTTCAAGTCAGAATGGTTCACAAACCCACAAGTGCCAATTGACCAAGAGAAATTTTGTTGTGTAAATAATGAACTGAGACAAATGAAGACAAATGAAGGTTTTTCCAACAATGGAAATTGGCCGATGCTTGTTGATAGGGATCAAGTTTTTATGTATCTCTGTTGAAAATGATTATTTTCTTCATTTCAAATGAATTCCAGAAGGAATGGTGATTGAGACTGTTTACTCAACAAAAGGAGTTTTTACGTTGTTATTTATTTCTAGCTGATGGGGATTTTTGTTGAGGTGCATATGCAGTATTTATTTTGTGCCCTTGCATTTTTTTTTGGTTTGCCCAATGATTGGTTTACGCTGCTGGATGGTATTTCAGGACAGGTCTGATGAATTCTAGTAGTAACACATTACAACAGTAGTGTGAGTACTGTTTTCTAGCTGTGCACCTCAAAGCCAAATAGAATTCAAAATTTTAACAATTTGTTCTTAGCAATCTGTGATTGTGATTACATGATGCGATATAAAACCTAATTGTTTTTGTTTTTAAAAAATAAAGTTTGCAGGTTCCATTTTTATCCAATGTGTTTACAAAGGATTTTGCTTTAGGAGCAGATGCTTCGAGGGGACTACTAGTAAGTCCCATAGCTCTATCTATATCGACTGCTTAGTGCAAGACTCTGCCATTTATGCCAATTTGAAAAGTGATGTATTTTTCTATCTT